ACACACACACACACACACACACACACACACACACACACACACACACAGCTGGGTTGTGATCCTCTCCAGAGCCCCTCAGGTGTGAGATTCCCGCTCTTTGACTCTCAGTGAAGCTTCTATTTGTTTCCTGTTTGAAGAGACGGAGGTTTTCCGTCTGGAAAACATTCAACGGCGACCAGACGTCACCGCTTGGCGCTCACACAGATACTCGCACTTCACAGCTGATTGTCCTCTCGCTGCGACACAGAACAGATCTTTAAATCAACAGTTTAATGTCTCCCGGTCTCACACGTGAGGCTGTTTATTGTGACTTTAAACTGTGAGCTCCTCAGTGAAACTATGAAGCCATGATTGATTCATCTGAGACCAACAGTCATGTGACAACAAGGAGGAGACACTGACTGAACTACAGGAAGTGAACACAGAGAGGAGAGGAGGAGGAGAGGAGAGAGGAGGAGAGAAGAGGAGACAGGAGGAGGAGAGGAGAGAGGAGGAGGAGGAAGAGAAGAGGAGACAGGAGGAGGAGAGGAGAGGCTGAAGTAGAGGATGTCAACATGTAAATACATATAACACATGGAGTCTCCATTTGTTCCAACATGGGTAACACTTGTGGACACTTGTAAACATGTTGGATTTATAGATTCTCCTGTTTTCCAATTTTCGTAAAATAAATTATCAAATAAATTCAACTTACGTTTTTCTCTTTTTAATGATAACTGTGTTGTTCTGCACTGAAGACATGTCCTAGTTCTCTCTACTTCCAGTCATGGTGGTTCTGTTTCTACAGAGGAGCAGGACTTTTATTTTCTGAGCGCTGACTCAGTGAATCAAGAACTTTATTGTCATTATGCAACAAAATGGCGGCTGCGTCATCCTCAAATGGTGCAAAGAATTAAAGGACTTCACACATATTTACGAGGAATGAATGAGACACGAATGAGGTGAAAACATAACAATACATATCACAACGTCGATGGTGTTGCTTCAAAACAAAGGAGCATGAAGATGAAGTCGGTCCGCCACATTTGGACTTTCCATCGCGGTTCGCTCAGCCTAAAGTTCAGCACGGCTTTATCTCCCCGGTGTCGGAGAGGAAGACGAGCGAGCCGCGAGTAGCTCTGGATGGAGATGCGTTTGGACATAGAAGGAAATGTGGCTGCAGCAGGTCATCGGCTCGCAGCCTGAGAATCAAACTCAGGAATGAGACTCGGACGCCAGGCTGTGACGGGCCTGTGTGTCCTCGCATATTTGTGTATTTAGAGTAAGTACTGAAAAGTAGTACAACGGAAAAATACTTTTCTTAGAGGGTCAGAAATGTCCAAACAGTTTAGTTTTATCAACGTCTGAATTAAAAGGTGACGACAGTTAATGTTTGTGTTGCCATGTGAACGTCTGATTAAACCACGCACACGCACACACACACACACACACACACTTTAGTTTGCATTGTTGTAATTTAAGTGATGAATATTCTAGAGAATTATCACAGATTTTAAACCTTGTTTTTAGGAGATTTAAGTAAAGAAATGAACAAAAATGTAAAAGAAACAATTGTTATGTTTATATGCATGAAGAGGTTAAATAATAATAATAATAATTAAAACCTTTTTAAAACTTGTCAGAAGAAAACAAAGACAAAACAAAAGACGGAGAAAAATGAAAAGTAGGAAAGAATTTAGACAAAATGATGAAATGAAAAAGCTTCGGAACAAAAGACGGAAAGAAAAGTTTAAAAATAATTAGCAAAGGTAAAGAAAAGAGTAAGGAATCATGGACTCATTAAAACAAAGGAAAGAGGAAAGGAGTGAAGGATGAATGTGGAAGTGTCTCAATACAGTATGTACGTTCTTACAAAGTGAGACGTTGAGACATCTGTGAAAGTATGAATAAGTTCATATTTAACGCTCATGTGATGTTTGTGTCGGTGTCAGACCAGGTGTGTTTTTACATGTGTTTGTTAAAGTGCACGTGCTCATGCATGTCTTAATGTATACACTGATTGTGTGTGTGTGTGTGTGTGTGTGTGTGTGTGTGTGTCCGGTTTATTGCCAGATGGTGTGTCAGACATGGGGAATGTTGTTTATAGTTGATGAGGGAGAGCGATGAACGCCTGGCACCGACACACACATATACACACACACACACACACACACACACACACACACACACACAGTTTTGAAATGGACCAGAGTCTCCTCCTGACCCTGCTTTTATTGTGAAAGGGCATGTCCACTCGAGACACACGAGGCTCCAGCAGCTCAAGGAGTGCAGATTAAAACCGTCTTTGTGCATCTTTTCAACATCACTCGTCGCTGTTTTGTTAAAAACAAGCCTGAAAATAACCGAGTTTAAAAACTCTTTTTGTTTTCTTTCTTGCAGATTTTATTTTGAAACTTGAACTTATCCAAAATGTATTTTTTACACACAAAGACACATCTAAAATAGTTTATTTAAGGTATAAAGAAAGCATCTCTCCACACACAGAATCGTTCCTGATTATTTAATATGTAGATTAATGAAGAGCAGCGCCCTCTAGTGGCTGTAATGGTCTTTACAACCAGAAAGAGTATTTTATACTTCTATTCTACTACACTTTAGAGGCAAATACTCTACTTTTTACTGCGTTACGTTTGTTTAAAAAAGGTTGCAGGGTTAGTTATTAATACCAAATATGAATCGACTGATAATTTACGATGTATTATTATGCAGTATGTTCCATTAACTTTTGTAGCAACTTTACACGTTTCTTGCTTCGTGTATCTCTGTATTCCTTTATGTATCGTTTCTCTTTGATGTGTTTTAGTTTTTATTTTTCTCTGTGAAGCACTTTGAGCTGCTTTTAATGTATTTTAATTTGAGTTCACTTTATTTAATTTAATTCAACATTTTATTTTACTTTATTTTAAATGTTATTTTATTTAGAATCAGCCAACCTTTACCAGCTGCAACATTAAAGTGATGCATTACTAATTATAACCTATATAATATTTTATGGGTTATAATTAACATCATTATTATTTTCTGAAATGAGACATTCTGCATAATGAGTACTTTTACTTTTGGTACTATAAGTATATTTTGATGCTCATACTTTTGTATTTTTACTTAAGTAAAGTAACTGAATACTTCTAATTAAAATGTATTTTATGTTATTATTGTATGTTTGTACATTTTGCTGGATGCGTGAGCTGTGTGTGTGTTGGTGTGTTTGTGCAGCTGGTCTTCTACAGGGTGGTGAAGATACTGTCCACTCTGGGCCACAGCCTGTCCTTCATCACTCTGCTCACCAGCACCATCATCATCTGTTTGTTCAGGTAAACCAGTCACACTACCAGGATGTTTTAAGGATTACTCCACGTATATGTACACATATATACGTGTATATATAATATAAACACACGGAGGTGATAACAGCTGAGTCTGCTGAACTCAGCTCAGTCTGGATCAACTCCAGCTGTTCACTGGACTGAGTCCTTCACTGGGTTCAACCTAGACTCCCTCTGTAAACACTGTCCTCAACATCCCTCTCTGTGTGTATATGTATGGATATAAAAACATATATATATGTGTGTGTGTGTGTGTGTGTGTGTGTGTGTGTATTTATATACATACAGGAAGCTCCACTGCACGAGGAACTACATCCATCTGAACTTGTTTTTGTCCTTCATGCTGCGAGCCGCCGCCGTGCTGACCAAAGACACGCTGCTCTTCGACGACCAAAACAGCGACTGCAGCACGCAGCCGTCGCTGGTAACACACACGCGCACGCACACACACGCGCACACACACACCTTTTGGGCCTGTGGTGATTTATTTTTTTAATAAACTAGAATATGTCTTGTGCATATTTCTAAATATTTGCGCATTTTTGACGAAACCACATGCATATATGTATTTCTATATATGTATATATATGTATTTATATATGTATAACTTCCTTGTAAATATAATTTAGTTTTATTTTCTCCTTTACTGCTACTTTTATATACTTTGTTATATTTGAATCGCCTATTTCATTGTTTTTATTTTAATTTATAATATTTGAATATTTGTTCATACTTTTTCTCACAATCCTGTTTTGTAAAATGACAATAAAGCTGAACCTTTAATTATATTTTTACGGTTTCAGTTGCCACTCTACCTGCGTTATTGTTTCCAACAGGGCATTCTTCCTGAAACATGTTTATTTTCATGAACGTTTTCATGGTACGAGTGTTACAGCACAGGTCGTACTGGTTTATTATTAGTTCCTGGGGATTTAATCTATATCATGACACATTTCTGCATCCTATAATTGTTGTTTCGTGTGTTGTTGTAGGTGGGCTGTAAGGCAATTCTGGTGTTCTTCAACTACTTCATCATGGCCAACTTCTTCTGGCTGCTGGTGGAGGGTCTGTACCTGCACACGCTGCTGCTCGTCATCCACAGCTACTCCACCCGCCTCTCCGTGTACCTGCTCATCGGCTGGGGTTCGTATGTCATGAAACATGTCTTATCTCTGTGTAAAGTACAACGAGCATTACACACTGAAGACTGCACAGATGTTCACTAGAACTTTTGTTGTTTTCTATCGACAAATAAATGCTGCATCAGAATAAGTTTAACGTTAGAATCACGTAAGAAATAAAGCTTCACACAGTTGCTTTATTGGAGAAGCTCAACATTTTGGGAAATATTTACTTTATATTTCTCATTTATACTTCAAATGAGAAGATGGATACCACTCCGGTGTCCGTACGGTAAATAGGAAGTCATAGTCAGCAGCTGGTTAGCTTAGCTTAGCATAAAGACAGGAAATGGGGGTGAACAGCTAGCCTGGCTCTGTCTGACGTTAACAAAGTCTGCATACCAACACCTCTAAAGCTCACTAATAACACATAATATTGTTTTTGTTTAATCCATACAAATGTGTAAAAATGTAGCAGTTCCCTTCTTTATCGTTATGCTAAGCTAAGCTAACCAGCTGCTAGTTGTAGCTGTAGAGTGGTGTCGACCTTCTCATCCAACTCTCGGCAAGTAAGCTTGAAACATGTTATCTGAAGACAGAAACTATTGTATCATTTCTGCACTTACGTTTCTTGCAAAATCAAAATCACACACATGGACGGACGGACGGACGGACAGGCCAGTATATTTCATGAAAGGTCGGCTGGGAAACAGTCTCCTGGCTCCTCTGTGTTCACTCAGGCCCGTTCCACTGCCATGCGACACCTCCTTCCACCATCCGTCACCACTTTACCCAACACTTCCTCCCTAATGCATCAACATTTAGCTCCAGCTGTTTAATGTACGTGTGTGTGTGTGTGTGTGTGTGTGTGTGTGTGTGTGTAGACGTCACATTTCCTGCGTGGCACCTTGTGAGGATGTGCAGACTGAGAATCTAAACAGACTCCTTCTCCTCCTCTCTCCTCTCGTCTCGCAGGAATCCCTTTTGTTTTCATGGTGGCGTGGATCATATGTCGGATAAATCTGGAGGACACACAGTGAGTCTGAACGTCCTGAGAGGCGTTTTAATAGACAAGAGCAGCAGGTGTTGCAGTTTAACGAGTGACCGTGTTAACTGGTGACTCTCAGCCGAATGCGTCTGCGGTTGCTCGTAGTAAGTTTATGGTGGACGTAGTCATCATAACGTCAGTCATTGGTTTGTGAACTGACGTTTTGAAGCCTCTAGTTCGGCGATTTGGCCGTCGCCATCTTGTTTTTTCTTGCAACCAGTGAACAGGAAGTGACCATATATGGACTGAGGAGGAGTGACGTAGAGACACCGTATACGTCTCTGGTAGAGACCTGTCAATCAGCGTGTAGCCCCGCCCTAAAGCATCCCCTGCTTTATGGTCTGTTTGACTCTAAATGGACCATAATGTACTAAATGAACATCATGCTGTATTGAAGAAGACTTGAAACTAGAGATTGAGACCATAAACTAATGTTTACAATGTTTACTGAGGTAATAAATCAAGAGAGAAGTAGAGTCATTTTCTCATAGACTTCTATACAACCAGAGGAGTCGCCCCCTGGTGGACACTAGAGAGAATGCAGCTTTAACACACAAAGCATCGGCTTCACTTTACAGAACCGGAGGTTGCGGCCTGTTTATCATAGATAAACACAGATGAGTATGTATTTAGATTTGGTAGTCCACCAACAGAACATGTAGGTTTCCTCGTGATAGTCCTCTGTATATTATCTAAAGCAACCATTAAGTCACCACGAGAAACCACAAACGGATTAGGCTAAAATTCACCAGTTAACACGGTCACTGGTTAAACTGAAACACCGGCAGCCTCTATTGCTACAAGCTATGAAACGTGATGACTGAACTGTTTGTAGCGGCCATTTTAAAACAGAATAAAGTCAAACCTCTGGGTCTCTTCATGGTGTTTGACGTTCTGTACATGAACACAGATGACAGAGTTGGATCATCTATTGACGTGTAGCTCCTAATGTGTCTGTTGTAGCGTTACACACTAGGTTTCTCCACCAAATACAAGTTTGTATCGGGACACTTGCTTGTACATTCTACCCACTCACTAACAGTCCTTATAAACAGTGACGCGCTGTTGCACTCCGTCGTACTTCCACTAAAAACTTGCGTACGACATCATTGTTTACAAACAGTTAAAGAGTCCATGATTATGAAAATGCTAATGCTGATCAATGTTCTTATTTCCAGGTGTTGGGAGATGAATGAGAACCCGATCCCCAACAGACTGATGAACTGGCCCATCATGGCGTCTGTCATCGTGAGTTTGGCACCAACGTCTTATTCTAACGAGGCGTTCAGTTCAGTAACTTTCTGTGTCATGACTTTTATTCTCTGCCACGACGGTATATATTTAAAAATGCTCTTTTTTATGTCTGTCTGTGTTTTCATGTGGTGAAACCGTTATGCTGCTGTCTTCAATTATGTAACAAATATTCATAATCTCAACGGTATTATCCTGGGAAATAAAAGTTTAATTCATAAAATATATAAATAATGTACTTTTTTCAATGTGGGACCTTCAAAAATGCACATTCAGTGTCATCCACAAAGTCACTTATTTAAGATTATTTCAGTCAGATTTTCAGTTTCAACCTCAAACTCTTTGCAGTTGGATTTTTATTATTTTATAGATATATTCCTCTGCCACTTCCAGCTGCAATTACTCAAAGAGCAACATCTGGGAACGTTTTTTATCGACTTATTATAACATCCCCGTGCTTCTACCGTCCAATAACGACTTTAATAAACCGTCTCATGGCTGCGTAGTCGTGGGATAACATTTGAAACCAGAGAGAAGCTTCAGTCTGGCAGTTTGTCTAAAAATGTTGGAAAGCAGACGATCAATCACAACACGTTGTCATCCTGAAGCATATTGTCGACGAGCTGCTCTGCTTGAATCATTGTCGACAATAAAGTTGAATGACTTTGATTGCTGCTTCCCACTGTAGAATATATTCTAAACCTGAGTGAGTCTGACACTTATGAAGAGTAAATCTGGGCCCGAGTCATTTATCTACATGTACAGTACTGTAGATACTGCAGTACATGTACTAATACCACACTGTGAAAACTCTCCACTACAAGTAACAGTTACTTACTGCCATAGTGGATTGAGCTGGAGCTCATTTAGAATTATTAACTATTGATTATTTTCATTATGGATTCATCTGCTCATTAATATCAGCAGCAAATCTTCACATTAGTGAAGCTGGAACCAGGAACTGTTTGCATGAAGAATGACTTAAACTAGTGTACAAATAGTTAGAAATATTTTAAACTAATAAGTACGTAGTAACAAAAGCTGTCAACTAAATGCAGTGAAGTAAAAAGTACAATATTTCCCTCTGAGATGTAGTGGAGTAGAACGTGACCTGAAGAGAAAAGACTCAAGTGAAGGACTTTTAGTTTGCTTGGTAAATTTCACAGATTCTGATCTCTCTGGTGTTGAAGAACAACCTTCACTGACCAACAGGTTTCTGTCTCCGTTTCTTTCATGTAAGATCAACTTCGTCCTGTTCATCAGCATCATCCGCATCCTGGTGCAGAAGCTGCGCTGCAGTGATGTTGGAGGAAATGAGCAGTCGCAATACAGGTCCATATGTTACCTCTGTGCTTCTATTGATCCGATTTATACATTCTAGAGGGCTTTAAGGAGACATAATGAACCATCGGGCTGCTGCAGTTAAGGTCCTACGTGTTTCTAAAGTTGGACATCTTTTTGTTAACTTGGAGAGAAAAGACAAAAACTGTTTGTTTATTATATTTCAAAATAAAAGAAGACAGTTTCCCAATTTTTTTGAGGAGAGAGAAACCAAATGCTGCACTTTACATTTTACATTAAACATTTGGCACAAAAACAAAGATGTATTCAATAACAAAAGCATTTGGAAACACTGTTGTTTTGTCGTGTGTGTGTGTGTGTGTGTGTGTGTGTGTGTGTGTGTGTTCTCTAGACGTCTGGCTAAGTCCACCCTCCTGCTGATCCCTCTGTTTGGAATCAACTACGTGGTGTTTGTCTACCTGATGGAGCCGGCTGACAAAAACATGAAGCACATCAAGATCTTCTTTGAACTCGGCCTCGGATCCTTCCAGGTAACAGAACATACAACGGGTTCCACTGATTCCACATAAATAGACAACAGATGTGCACGTTCTTAGAGGAACAAAAAAGTATTTTTTACACATTTTGGAAGACATGGGCGCTGTTTATTGAAACTTGATTTGTTTAAATTTGTGTCTTCGTCTCCTTTAAAACCTGACACATTTGTGAATCAGATCAGCTGTTTCAGTGTGAACAGCACAACTTACATTGAAGCTGATCTTTTCAGTTCTGATTTTGGTCCACTTTCATATGTGGTCCTGAAGCAGACACTGGAATCATATCGGAATTAATGCGACTTTTACGCCAACTCATGAAAGTGGAGACGCTCTGAAAGATGTCCCATTACATTTAAAAGTGCAGATTTCTTCTCAAATGTTAATGTTTTGTTGGTAAAAATCCCCAAAATATGCAGCTAATAACATCAAGTTAGGTCCTTTTTGCTTTCATGTGAGAAGCCTTTTTGTCGGAACAGTGCGTGCCATATTTTTATAATTTTAACTCTTCTTACAAAACTATAAGATGATCGGAATCGGTTTATTGCCAAGGACGTTTGCATATACAAGGAATTTGGCTTTATGATTGGTGCATTGCAATAAACACAGTGCAATGCTATAACACATCATTTAAATATAATAGATATATAATAGAATAAACAAACAAACAGATTAAGAGTGTGTTAAAATAAGTCTTGTTAGAGATGCTGCCTAATCAGTAACAGATGCGTATGTGTGTGTTTCAGGGTCTGATTGTGGCGGTCCTCTATTGTTTCCTCAACAGCGAGGTGAGTCTGCACACACTGGTTTCCCAACTTTAATTTCTCCACTTCACAGACACTAAACTCTTTATTAATTTTTTATAACTCTGTATTATAAAAACAAAAAGGTCCGGATGGAGCTGAGGAGGACGTGGAGGAGTTTATCTCTCAAGCGTTACGTGGGGCGGGACTACAGGCTGCACGCCATGTCGGTCAGCCGCAACGGCAACGAAAGCTCTGCTCAGTTTCCCAGAAACTCCCGAGCCCAGTCCATCCTGCAGACTGAGACCACCATGCTCTGACTGGAGGGGTCTGTTGTTATAGAGACATTCAGAACTGATCCTCGTAGTCACCAGGTACAGTAGAGGCTCGAAGTCTTACTCAAGGACACTTTTTATAGACGTATCGGGAAGGACCTCTTGTTGGACCGTGTGCGCCTCCAGAAGATTTTGTCTTCAGCATTTTTTTAATTCCCGTCACACACATGAAACAGTGCCTTCTGAAATCATGCAGAACAGAGATCTGCATCAACTAATTTAATATCAAGGTCTACTTTCACGATTAAACATTATTGAAAAATATGCAAATAAAGAAGTCAAATACTGGTTCAATAAATAATCAACACACTTCCATAGTCTCAGTTGTCTCAGATATTTATGGGAGACGGCCGAGTGTATCATCTGTTACAGTGAAGACAACGATTAACTTCAATAGGAAGTTTTGATGTCATAATTCCATGATCATGATATGTCTTCTTTTGTTTTGATTATCGCCTTTTGGAAAATATTCAAAACAAAGAACTTTAAAAAGAAGCCATAAAGAATGTATGTATCATAAATATGTTGTTTAGTTTTGTTAAGAACCAAAATAATTACAGGATGTGGTGGAGAATCACATTTTGACATTTGTGAATTTATTATTATAATTGTTTTATTTATTATAGTGGGTCCAAAGAAGCAGATTGTAAGATTTATCTTAAAGGGTCAGTGTGTAGAATTTGGCGGCATCTAGTGGTGAGGTTGCAGATTGCAACTAATTGAAACTTCTACCGTGTGCCAAGGCGAAAACACGAATGGACCTATCGACAGCCAGTGTTTGGTTCGTCCGTTCTGGGCTACTGTAGAAACATGACGGTGCAACATGGCGGACTGCGTTATTTTTGTTCCAACAAATCCCACCCTACTGTGCTGTGATTGGCTAATGTTCTTCTCATTTTGCTCACGCGAGAAGTTTCCTTCAGAGCTTTCTGCCAGAAATATTCTATTTAAACCCAAACCGTGATCTTTTTCTAAACCTAACCAAGTAGGTACGTGCCTTAACCTAAAGAGATTTCTGGCTGAGGCAAACTTCTCCCATGTGCGCTCAATTTCTGTAACCAATTAAGCATGAAAGAGGAGAGGAATTAGCATGCTAGCTAACTAGCCAGCTGCTAAATTAAACAACCCAAGGCTTCACCCACACACTTTTGTCACAGCGTAGGAAAGCACATTGTTGTCGCCAGTTGAGTGACAACTTTATTCGGCTCATTTTCTGTAACCGGTGATGCATTACAGCATGGCGGAACTAGTAAGCTAGCTAGCTAACTAGCCACATCGCTAATTTCATATGCATCACGTTTCATCCAAACACTCTTGTCTAAGCCAATTGCTATTGCCAGATAATCTGCCAATCACAGCACAGTGGTGCTAGCCAGTACTAGCCAATCAGCACATAAGCACTAGCCAGTACTAGCCAATCATAGCACAGAAGCACTAGCCAATCACAGCACAGAAGTACTAGCCAGTACTAGCCAATCACAGCACAGAAGTACTAGCCAGTACTAGCCAATCACAGCACAGAAGCACTAGCCAGTACTAGCCAATCACAGCACAGAAGCACTAGCCAGTACTAGCCAATCACAGCACAGAAGCACTAGCGGGACTAGGCGTAAAAAAGCTCATTCTTAGCTAACAAAAACATGTTTCTTTTTTTTTGGTGATAATACATTTAAGAAAACAAATGTTTTAATAATAGATTCCATTTATGCTAATAGATTCCAATAATCGCTACACACTGCCCCTTTAAATATTACCTGCTGACTTCAAATTGAATGTTCTTAATAGTGTTCTGGTCGTCACTTTAAGTAAGACATGTGGCCGCGGTGTTTTCTTTCTTGCTTGTGACCCCTGAAAATGAAACGGCATCTACTTTTTGTGTCTACCAGTTGTGACCACTTATAACCCTTCTTACAGTTTATGCAAATATATTTTACGGCCTTAACAGGTGAATCTGGTCAATCATCTCACGACCCCTCAGATTCATTTTACAATCCCTTGATTGTAAGATAACACATAACTGTAGTACACCATCATTAGACACCAAAACTATTCAATAAAACAGTTATCGTCTTTAAATGAAATACAGTAAGAGAATGAATGAAACAGCAGTTACAGTTCTACTTGCAGCCAAAAAAACTACTTTGCCTTGTACAGAGAATGATTGTTTTGTATTTTATGGCTTGTGTATTAATGTTGGTCATGTACATTAGGTCAAGGGAGATTTATAAGCTTTTGAACACGACTGTAAAGGTGTGACTCCATATGTTTTATGTATAAAAGCTTTTATCATAGAGACTTGTCATGTTTGTTCTTTCTCCCATAAGTATGCACTCTACATTGTACATACGTTCTAAAATATTGTGCAAATATTAAAGTAAATCTCCCCCAGATGATCCTTGATGTGATGAAATAATGACGACGTTGAGGCGAGTTTAAAGGTGCTATACATACGTGACTGGGAGCATTTTTATTGACTCAACAGCTGAGCCGGCGACTCGCCAGCTAACAGACCTAACAGCGCTAACGGTGTTTACATGACGACGCTGTCAGTCTGGACGGCGTCATCAGCTCAGGTGGACATTACTCCGCTGTATAATAGTACTTAGATAATAGTTCCTGCTATATTAATGCACTGAATCCTGTATATTGCACCTTTAACCTCCACGCTTTTGAAAGCATTGTGTTTTATGTCTGCATTTGCATGAGGGCCATCACGATAACGATAGAAGGCACGGTTAGGTAAATTTCTAACTTTACCTAATTAGAAGGGTTAACCTGATGTTCTCTGCAATTAGGTGGAAAGAAATCCAACAAAGTGCAGCCCTAAATCCCCTTTTCTCTCATTTAGGTGATACGTGATATAAGAAGCATATTGCACAATGAGGTGTACTGAAACAGAAAATAACTTCCCCACGTAATTGATGAAATACCAAAGATTAATCGCCACACATGAAACAGACATAAGGATTGCACACTCAAAAACTGTCTAATATATGAATCCTGCAATAAATCAGGTATTTATAAGTAATGTTCAGTTTCTGCTCAAACTGTTTCAGGTGTTTACAAAACTTTATGATCATTTTGGAGGCTGCTGTTGCAGTTTAATAGTGCTGCGTTATGAGAGGTGTTTTTAATATTCATAAGGGTACATCTGCCATTCTTAAAATTAATAAACCAACACCAGTTTTACTGATATTACACAATTAAAAAAACATGATTTTTGAAAATTTTAAAATATCGTATTGTATCAAAACATCCCAATAACAGTATTAATGATATTCTCTGGCTCGCACACAAAACTAAACATTTGTCCTAAACATTTATATCAATGCGAGTAGAATAACGCACCTCATTCATGTACTTTTGTCTAATATTATTTAACTAAAAAGGAGGATGTTTATTATTTGTCTTTATTTCCAGTTTTCTAATTCTACCTCGAAATAAAAAGGAAGTTTAAACTTTTCTGTGGTTATCTGGTGTTTGTGTTTCCATTGGCTGTGGGAGTGAAACCATCTCACTGTGTGTGTGTGTGTGTGTGTGTGTGTGTGTGTGTGTGTGTGTACTCTACCCGGCTTGTATTGTTTGTTTTTAGCTTTGGCCTATACTCGCCCCTCACATTCCGCGCTGTCACATCTGCCGGAAGCAAGATGGCTCACTCCTTAGCTACTTCCATCATCAGCTCTGGAAAAAAACATGTTTGATTATTTTTTTAACCACAGTTGCCAGATTTACTAGCCCAGCGTGGCAATTAACTTGCAATTAACAATAGGGCAATCCCTATTGTTTAGCACTGATATGGTCCCAGAGTATTGGAGTTAGAAGTTTTCACCGAGCTCTGGCTACCTTTTGAGCATCTAACATGCAATGTGTTAGTTTGGAGGGAATCTCACATAAACACTTACTCTCCCTATTTTAAGTTGTACTTTTGTTAAAAAATTAAAATAAAGCAGAAAATACGAATTCCCCACTGTTACTCTTCTCACACCTTCTTCTTCTTTGCACAGTTGTATAACTGCTGTAAAACAAGATGCAAAATTACTTTTCAAATAGTGTATATTGCTCTGGAGCTCACATTTTTAACACCACAAACATAAAAACCACATCAGCGTGTTCGGCAGAGTCTTATCTTTCTCACGGTATCCATATTTTGGCACTCAGACTCTTGCTTTTTGTTAAAAGGAGGCAGGAGTTTTGTTCAAAATCACTGTTTACTGTAACATTTTTTAATCAATCTGCCTCTAACACCAGGTGCGTCCTCACCATGGCAACCAGTTACACACACACACACACACACACACACACACACACGCAGGCTCTCTCTCTACACACACACACACATGACTTGGAGGCATTGTTAGACCTCCTGTCTGTCTGACTCTCTCCGTCTGTCTCGCTCTCTCGCTCTCATTTTATTTATATTATGTATATCATTTTTGGATGTATCAGAGCATCTGGAGCACAACACATTTCTTTTGAGATGAATAAAGTTGTTGAATATTTGACGCCTCAAATATTAAATCCTGCAAAAATATATGTAAAAAAAAAATCAAGTGAGATGATAATTTGTGCTCATATATGATATCATATATGATATAAAATATTATCCTTCAGGATATGATAATTCTAAAAAGCTAAATACTGGACTCAGCTTTTACCACTCTAACCTGTACAAGAGCTTTAACTGGAGCTGAATGCTAACATGCTAGCTCTAGCATGTTAACAAGCATTTGACCAACTAATGGATGTTGAGACATCCTGGTATTTATTATGTCGTTTTTTTCGACATGTTAACAGTTACATTACGTTACTGTGTATGGTGACATAGTATTTTAGCAAGATAAGAGTTCTTACGTTAGCATGCCATGCTAGAATTAATCTACAGTACAGTAAAGATTGCAGGGATTCTGTCACTTGTTCTAGAGGAATACTGAAGTTTTGGGCGGTAAAACCTGAGTGTAGCAATCCAAATGTTGACGATTCATCTCCTGTGGAGCAAGAAAGTCAGGAACAATTTTAAAAAGATGTTACGATGAACTTTTAGTATGCTAGAAGTGCTAGCATGCTAAAAAGGTCTCGATGGTAAACCACAATTCCCTAGAACTTACTAAAACTCTCGCAAAACTCTCAAAAGAGTATCGTAAATTGTGGGGTAACATCTAAGACTGCTAAAAACATTAAGATTAATTTTGCTAGTTGCCATTTATTACTGAATACAACTCAAACAGTCCAATGTGTGTTGAGAGCGAGTGGAGCTAAACACACCAATCCAAGCTGAATGCTAACGTGCTAACAGCAGCATTTTACTAACTAATGGCTATTCACATGGTGATATAATAGCGTGTAACATTCAGTGTTTTGCCATGTTAACATGCCTCCACTGTGTATGATTACAGAATACTTTAGCGAGTTAGAATTCTAATGTGAGCATGCTGTTAGCATTCATCTCAAAGTACAGGAAAGATCACAGGGATATTGTCAGGAAACCTGTTTGTAGCGATCATGAACAAATGTAGGGATCATAAAAACGGGTCATGAGGTTTTACTCTGAACCAAATGAGTGGCACCCCTTGGGCCAAGATGCTAGTATGCTAAAACACTAATTTCTCATTTCAGAGATTCATAAAACATGTTCAAAACCCCAAAATAAAACAGGCTAACGTTTGTTTTTTACGCTCTTTAATACCGTAACCCTAACTCATAAGAGGTTTTGAAGCTCAGCTGGACTGCAGGGAACATGTTGCTGACTCTCAATGTGGGGCGTAAAGCTGGAGTCGTGGCCGGCGGCTTCGTTGGTGGGGCGTGTGTCTATATCGAAGCTGTTTGTCCTGTAATAACGTCTCCTCAAACTGTGGAAGACCTCAGCGAGAAACACCCGGCCGTCCACCTCGTACGCGCTGACGTCCGTCTGCTCCGGAGGCAGGCGGCCGCTGGCGATCAGCTCCCTAAAGACCTGAAGAGGGAGAGTTCAGAGTTTAAAATATGAGTTTGACAGTGAAGTGACGGGACGTGTGGAACATGTTACCTGAAAGACGGGCTCCTCCAGGTGGTTCCCCCAGATGTAAACATGGTCCAGAGTTGTGTTGACCTTCAAAGCATGAGCCAAAGACAGCAGACCCTCCGTCCTGATGTTGTTACTGCGGACAGACAGCCTGACAGACACAAACTGTGTTTATTTATCTAAGTAGTAATTAAGTCACCTAAAAATTATTTAAAAAACGGTATATTTTGCCCTCTTCAGACCACAAAGATCCTTAACATAGGTTTAACTGAACTTTCTCCATCTTCTGATCTTTAAAACCCTTCAATTTTTCTAAAAATGTTTAAATAAAATAAGTTTTATAAACTGGATACGTTCTAAAAGTCCTAAAATGTATGAATTACTGGAAACCTTCAAATCCTCAGGCCTCCAGAAAACCTTAAAGTAGAACAAACTGGATGATTAAATCTCTTCAGACCTCGCTAAAGGTTGCTAAAACCCTTAAAATAAGATTTTTTTTAAAAAGTCCTCAGGCTGCTAAAAATCCTTAAAGTAAAACAAACTATATAAAAATAAACTATAAATACTTCAACCTCTTCATACCTCTAAAATACTTAAAATAAGAAAAATGTAAAATACTCAATCTTTCGTCTCCTCAGACCATTAAAAGACCTTAAATTAAGTAAAAATACTTGATACTTTTACCTCCTAAGACCTTTTAAAAAAAACTTAAATTTAGAAAATAAATGAAACTCACTCCTCTTCAGGTCGCTAAAAACCCTTAGACTAAGTGAAATACTTAATACCTTCTCCTCTTCGGACCTTTAAAACCCTTTAAAATGAGGAAAAACTGGATGTTCTGGACTCACTCTCTCAGGACGCAGCCCAGCCAGGCGACGGCCTCGCTCAGGTACGCGGCGCCTTCATCTTCAATCCGATTGGACGACAGATCTACGACCTCCAGGGTCCGGTTCTTCTTCAGCAGGTCGGCTAGATGACACACGCCGTCGCGAGTCACGCGGTTACTGCGCACACAAAAACACAAAGACACGATCGGGAGGACAAGAGCAGAGACTCGCCTCCATTAATCCAGAAGAGCAGGAGGAACAGCTTTGATGTGAAGGATGTTTGTGTCTCTTACCAGCGGAGGTCCAGGTAGCGCAGGCTGCCGTTGAGCCTTAGGCCTCTGGTCAGCCTCTCCATCCCCATGTCGGTCATCCCCATCTTCCCCAGGTGGAGCTCCACCAGGCTGCTGTTCACCGCCAGCATCTCAGCGACGTGCACAGCCCACTCCTCCTGAGAGACTATCTATTATCTGCTCATGTACACCTGGAAACGATAACCGACTCTTTGTGTTCGTGATCTTCGACGTGTTGTTCGTACCTGGTGGCTGAAGAGCAGCGGCCGGCTGACATCGACAGAGCGAAGAGTTTTGTTGCTTTTCAAGACGATGGAGAATGCTATCACGCTCTGAGTGTCCTGTAAGAGAAGGATGACTTTCTCTTGTGGTTACTCATTGTACCAAAAGTACCAGCGTCAGGGACAGTATACTATTTATATATATGTATATATATGTGTGTGTGTGTGTGTTTTTTTTACCAGGTCACAGTCGGCCAGCTCCAGCTCCCTCAGGGTGCTGTTCACCTGCAGCATGCTGGCCAGTTGCATGGCTCCTCTGTTCTCTATCTTATTGTTGGACAGTCTGAGAGAGAGCAAGGTGCTGTTACACTACAGAGAGAGAGAGAGAAAGAGAGAGAAAGCGAGGGAGGGGGGAGAGAGATTCAAAATGGCCGCCTTCCTGTAGGCTTTTGGCATTAAGGCCTTCGCGGCCTGTTGTTTTTTTGGTCTTTTCTTTGTGATGTGTTGACAATAAGTAAAAGCACAAACCTGCAGGCTCTTGGCAAGAACTTCAGCTCCGTCTCCCCGGATGTCGTTGAACATCAAGTCCAGAGAGCGCAGAGATGAGCTGTCCTGCTGCTCGGTGGAAACAGAAAGATAAACATGAATCATGAAATAAAGATATAGAATCTAATCAATAACATCCTCCATTTCCTGCTCACCTGTAGGAGGTCAACCAGGTGTCCAACCCCTTCATCTGTTATGTTGTTGTACCTGACATCAAGACCTGTTGGTACAAACAAAACTACTTTTAGATTGTTTAAAATAATAATAATTAAAAGTGTCCTGCTTAGTTCAGGTGTTCACCTAAACTCGACCGCTCACCTGTCACGCTCACCTGTCAGGCTCACCTGTCACTCTCACCTGTCCAACTTGTGTGGCTTCTCAAACATTTTGAGAGAGCAAGAACGTCTCCGTCATCAAGTCGCTGGACGTCTCTCAGACGGTTGTTTCCTCTCAGTTCTATTGTGACACTACTGCCAGAGAGAGAGAGAGAGAGAAAATAAATTACTGCCAAATAAACAACACTTAAATTGACTTGATGATCAGACATCAATGCTGCCTTCAGGTGCACCGCATAAGATCTGAACCCTGTTTTTTCCCCCTAAATGAATATAAATAATAGTAAAATTAAAATAAAGAGGCATTTAATCTATGTTTTGGTAGCCTATTAATCAAAGCATATAAGTAATAGTAATAACATTGTATTTATAAACTGTGACGTTGTCATAGATAGTGTCAGTATTAACCAGCAGCACCTGAAGGCAACAGTTTATCTCCGAAGTTTTATTTTATCAGTTCCCTTTCAGCTAAAGAATGTCAACTTTTAGTCATTTATTTTACATTTAACCACTTACTCCGTTCCCGTCGTCTTCTCTAAAACGTGTAAGACGTGTGGATTTATTTCTATCTCATGTTCTGCGCACACAGCGGCGTAAAACTCCGACATGTTTTCTCTATACATTGTCCAGCCTGCAAATGGAGTTTGAGTTTCTATGGCAACAAGGGAAGATGGCGTCTCGCGAAGGACAAACGAGAAAATAACGACAAAAAAAAACAATCTTCACAACTTTAAATTCACGTTGGGATAATTATCATAACACGAAATGTCTTCTTAATCTCGTAATGCATGAATACAGCCCGAAATAGAACCAATGATCTTAAACAGTTGTGACACAGAGACGTCTGTTGATTAAAACGTGGATTCATTCAAAGTTAATTACTTATTTTTGTTCCTAATTCTATTTGTTGCTATCGTAATCACAGCTCACTCCCGTCCGTTGACTGGACGTGGCGGTGTTCATCTTGAACCGATCCAAACTCTCTTTGCTTTGAACGTCGAAGTCTCGCGAGAGCCACTGACGTCACGGGATAATGGCTGAAGATCGCGGATTTTAGAAGGTACTTTTTCCTGCTTTTATTTACTTTGTGCTGGATTAAATAATAAGTACATTAGCACGTGCGATGTATTATAATCAACGATGACGTTTTGGCACGACTCGTGGTGTGAAATAAGCCGAATTCTGACATTTTGTGTCGACATTTTGTGTCGCCGGTTACAAACCGTCGAACCTTCGAAATAAGAGCACAATGTTTTTTTTCCGCGCTTTTCGCCACTACAAAAAAAACATAGTTAGCTTCGTACATTTCACCCACGCTGGTTTAACAGTGAAGCGCTATAATCGCCCCTCACGTGGCTGGCACAGTACACGAAGTATTCACCTACCTACGTGTATCGACAGACCACCATTACGAGTCAGTTTAAGCTATCTACGACATCGCTGTTAGCACTAGCATTAGCATTGAGGCCTGCTCAGGAAGCAGGCGGGAGCTTTTATTTTCCAAAACTACTTCTTTTCCATCTGAGCTGTCGAAGCTGCTGATTCTAGAGACTTATATCGTCGATTAGAGTGTTTATATACACGATGAATGTATTGTTTTTAATGCTTTAATTGTGCTCCATTGATTGTCTTCTTACACGTATTGATGCTCTTGGTTTTTTCATTGTTAGTTAATTTAAACTTTGCACTACTGTTTAGTTAGTTAATAGTATTCTATTTCATTGTATAGATATTGTGCATTTTTTACATTTAATATTTTTTACTCTGATTGCTTTACCTGTATCATCATGCTGCTGTAGCGAACAATTTCCCCTTGCAGGATTAATAAAGTATCTATCTGTCTCTCTATCTATCTATCT